CGCTGCAAGATGGGAAGTCAGACTCATCCAGAGGAAGATGGAACAGGGCACCATCGTGCCTTTCATCCCATGGCTCTACTCCTATGCTGCATTCTTCAGTGCTTCCCTCAGATGAACAAATTATACAGGGACCTAAAATAGAAACTGATGAGCCGAAATTCCACCAATATCTGCTTCATGCTAGCAGAGACATTTCCAAACAGAGAGAGGATTAAACTATGACAAATAAGATGACAAAAAAGACTGGTAGAGCACCGGACCTTCTCCCGTAGCGAGCTGCATTCAAAGCCCGTTTATACCAAAAATGCAACAGCTCGGTGGTTGCACCTTAGATGTCGACCAGTTCAACAGGAGAACCTTTGTTTGTTCCAGAGGAGGTAAGACTTCAGCTTGGCTCCCACTCATAAAGATATGTTACAAGAGGCTCAAGGAATATGCTCTCAAAGGGTGTCTTGCCAAAATTAAATCAATGGTAGAGATGGGGCTTTTGTGCTACTATGTGTTCGTTCATTTTATTCAAAAGAAATCAGCACAATAGTCTTGTTGCCACAGAGCAAGCATTAGTCACTGCACAGGAAGACTCCTGCAGTGCAGAAGGGCTTCTGGTTTGTTGGTGTTTTGGGTTTTTTTAATCCCTGATTCTTACTAACAGAAATATTAACTGTCAGGTAACCTGTCAAACTTAGCTATGAGCAGACTTGTGACACCACACATTGTCTCATTTCCCCCATCTTCATATTTAAGCACCTTTGACTCAGCTATTTCAGATACTTTTTGCAGGTTAATTCAAATCAAGAGGTTTTTCAGGATAGACACCCTCTCTCACTGGGTGCTTGTGCAGCACCCAACACAGGTAATGCTAATGCCAGCAAGTCAGATCAGAGCCGTTTGTGGACGGAGATCAAGGAGCAGAACATCAAAGAGTACTGCAGGCAGAATCAGATACCTTGTCAAAGCTGTACCGAGGAGTCTCCAATACTGAGAGGTTAGTCATCCATTAAGAAGTTCTTACTCCATAAACCACAAGGAGGAAAACTGCATCTATATGAATACACAAGAAAGTAGGAACTAGCTTTTATGTACACTAGAATGAGAATTTTGAGAGATAGTCAGAGATATTCAAGTACGGTTAAGCATGCGATGCGGCTGGAAGGGAGGCAAGATCCGACCCTGGGTGGCTGGAGAGCAATGGCACAGCACTCACCACCATGCTCTGTGCCAACAGGATCCCCTGCCAGCCGTCCGCAGGGATGCAGATTCAATGTGGCTCGTTTCCAAATGATGGAAACGCCTCTACAATATGGCTCATGCACACTGTGAAGACAGAGCAGGTATAAGCCTGCTCCCAAACGACAGCGATTCTGCTGATAAAATAAGAGCATCAGACTCCATTATCTCCGTTCACCTGAAGCAAAAGGTATCTCACATACAGCACCAGCTGCTGGAACAACAGGTCCTAGCTCAACCACGTTCCCCAAGTGCCACAGTCCACTGTGAAGGAGGAAGAAGTTAAACATTTACTGCTGTCCATCTCAGGGGCACCTAACTGCGTCTTAGAAATGGAAACAAACCAATCAAGTACCCAACCTCTAGTCATGCTTTCATAACATCTCATCTTTGATCTAGCAAATGAGTTTGCAAGACATCGCGCACACCCCACAGGAGCAAAGCTCTCATGTGAGTCAGAGCATCTGCAGGTGGGAGGCCCTCGTATGCTATAAGCTCATTAAAAGCAAGAAAAGCAACTTAATGGTCCACAGCATGATCCAAGACGCAGTACTGACGAAGTCCAAAACAGTTTGAAGATGGTAGCATCCAAAAAAAAGACTTAGCAGGATTTAGACTGGGGAAAATAGCCTTCGGGTAAAGGAGAATGGCTGGGTGGGGGTGAAGGGGCATGAAGACGAGATAAGCACCTCAGAATCCCACCCTAAATACGCAGCTGTAATATAGCAGCTCTTTTAGAAAGTTATTTCATTTCTCCTCAATCGTAGAACAGCAGCAAAGAAAACAAACAAACCAACCAAAACCCAACAACAACCCAGTCCAAACCAACTGTCAGTTAACAGATCATGTGTTATAAAGCCATCACAATTTCAGACGGCTCAACGCCTGGACTAGCAAAGAAGTTAAAAAGATCACGACTAAGTATATTTTTCAGAGTAACCACGCTTTAGATATCAGTAACCAAGCTTCTGGGGAGCATGAAACCATGTTAGCAGAACCGGGAAGTAGACTTTTACTAGACTGTGGCTCAGTCAGTAGAATCAGACCCATCGTTCCACCAGAACTTAGGTTGGTTTCATGGACAGCACATCCATAATAAAAAACCTGCTGTTCCAACTGATAGTGACTAACAGCAAACAAGAATTAAAAAAAAACATTGCAAATATAGTAAAACTGAGAGATTCTTGAGTTGTTTTACCTTTTCTCAAGCCCCCATCTCAGCCCAGGAAGAGACCGTTGCCATTTGTCACACTGAAGTTCACAAGCCCTTTCGGTTGTCAAGCTCTGCCTCCTGAACAAAACCAGGATGGTACCGAGGGAGGACAAACATATGTTTCTATAAGGAACCTTTTCAGTTTTTATGCTCTGAATAGGGACTGCAGATATAAATCTGCACTGGCAGTGTTTCAAATGAAGTTTTATCCATATAATTTTGCCCTTGTGACCCTGATACTCCTGTCGTCTGGCAGTTACTGGCGAGTTGTCTTTGCTCACACCTCAGGTTCCAGATCTTTAGAGGTGTTTCTTGCACTGACCTTCTGAAGGGGCAGACACCAAGAAAGTAGTTGCATACTGGTATTCCTCTTTCTGCCAGCTGAGTATCTACTATTTACACAGCTACGCAGGTTAACTCAGGAGAAACTGTACACTGAGATGGGCAAGGAGGCACGATGCTTTTTTCTTCTTCCAGGTCTCTGGCATAAATGCTATGTTTAGCTAGGCAGTAAGTTTAGAGGACTCAGAGATTCATAGATCCTTGTTGAATTTAGCTCCTTGGGTTCAGGTTAGGGTAAGACAGAGCAACTGCACAGTGGGAATGAAAAAATACTCAACAACTCTAAGTAACAAGAGTGTGAAAGCAGAAGGCAAACCCCAGAAGCTGCAGGCCATTCAATGCAGCAGGCTAACTGTCCTGCTTCCTAAGAAGCAGAAAGGCTCAGCAGCAAAGTCTACTTCCCCATCCAGACAGCAGGCAACTGCTGTGGAAAACCACCCAACGGGTACAGCTGCTGTGCTCAGGAAGGAACTTTGATGGTAAGGTGACAAAATGAGACATGCCCTTCTGGTCTTCCACATCTGCAGAGAGAAAGGGTCAACACTAATGCAGACACAGCTTGCACATGCCTCTTAATAGAACAGGGTACAGATAAGCCCAAACATCTAAAACGTGCAGGCGTAAGCATACCATTGATATTGTTATCTAGGAAGCAAAGGTTATAAGCTCCTTTCATAACTGCAGAGTCCATCCCTTCCCTTTGGGGGCAGAGAGCTATGTGAGCACTTTGCAAAGACCGAGCAGAGCATTAACTAAATATTGTATTTCTGTGCCTCGTCATTTAAGAAATCAGCTTGACACCAACGTTAACAGGAGGTGGCCTGTAGCTACCAGTGACTAAAATCAGTGACTGAGAGAGGGCAGTGAAGGGAAGGCCATTTCTTTTTACTACTTCTGTTCCTCTGAAATTATGACTGTCACTTCTAAACCATTTACTTTTTCTGGTATCTCAATAATCTCCTTCCCCACCTCTCCAGTTCCAAGCCCATATCAACTATTTCCAAAGCCAGGTATTCTTACAGTACAGAAAGTCACATACAGTGCGAAAATGGTTGCTTATGCTTGCGACTGCTTTAAAAAAAAAAAAACTCTTGGTGAGGCATTTGGTGAGAGAGAGGAAAAATGTAGTCACTAAATCGGATATAAATAGGTAATTTCTAATGAGTAAGACACTAGTCAAATTATAAATACTAAACATTTATTATTTTTCTGAAAGGAAGGTTGCAAGATTCAACTTCAAACAATAAGGCAAGGTCTTTTGTTGCTGTTGGGATTTTGTTTGTTTCTTTTAAGGGGAAAGAAAGAAGAATGAGAAACTGGTGTAAAGATACTACCAGAAGCAGTGCAAATTTAGATTAATCTTCTTTCTTACCTTTACCATCCCAGTGCTGAACTGCCAAGCTAAGCCCTCCCCAGTTAAATAAAGCGTACTTTATCATCATCTGGTTTTTGTACATCACTGAACAAGAATCATGGCCCCCCCTTCTTTCACCCCCCCTTTCTCCCCTACAAGAACATACTTAGTATAGTGACAGCCTTGTATCAACAGTAAAGCCTGGAGAAAGCTAACATGGTGTCACTTCATAAAAATTAAACCTGAACAGCATGAAAATTAACAACATTTAACCTTCATGATCAGCCGTGCACAGTGCAGAGATGTCCAATAATACAGCTCACCAGCACTGATTTTCCAGCTTCCTGTCACAAATACACTTTACACATCCACAAAAAGACGAAAGAGGAAAATCGTATAATCCAAGAACACTTTACTTTCAGTTTTAAACTAAGGAAGGCAAGCTTTTAAACAGGAATTACTGACACCTTATGGAAGTCCGTCATTATGTATCTGGGAATGGGAGACGAGCCTTGCCCCGTAACAACTGCTCACGAGGGGCAAAAAAGATTCATTAGAACTACCAAAAGCCAAGAGGACAGTCGACATCAGCAGCACCCGCCACCTTCTGTGCTGGCGCCGCTTACACAGATGCGCAGACTGAAGTTGGCACATGCGAAGTCCCATCATTTCTGTGATCTTGTCTCAAGCAGAAGGCAGTCGCTGTGGCTCCTGAGCCCATGGCTTCCCTCGAGCAAATACATTAGAATGTGATGTTTGCAAGACCTATTTGAAAAGAAAGGGGGGGCGGGGAGAAACAAGTGTTTATTCTTATACTACCTGTACTTCACTACCATTAGGACAGTTAGACACAGGAAGAAGGACACTTCGAGAAATTTTTTTTTTTTTTTTTTAAACTTAAATGGATTTGGTAGGAGGAAAGGAAATTAGGAAACAAGTTGATCTGTACTCTTTTAACCCTTTTTTTATTGTGATGCAGCAATTAATTTGAATAAGCCAATCTGAAGGAGTAGTGAAGTTATTCATGGCAGAAGGAACAACACAGAGGCTGCTGATGAACTAAAGGTCTGCCCATGAAATGAAAAAGAGAAAGCTGGGGAAAGTACCATTAATGAGGGCAGTAAATTCACATTGGATAAAGAAAAACTGCTTTAGATTAAAGCATATCCATGCATTAGACATTTGATTATCTCCTTTGAGATTTGTCTTTTTTGACTTTTAAGATATGCTCCATCATTTAATCTCAGTACCCAAAATTGTTCTAAGTACTTCTCTAATCACAGCAAAGAATAATGCCAGAGATCCCAGGAATACCGGCTACTATGAATAGGTGAACTTTTTGGCCTTAGCTCCTCTAGAAATAAGTTCTGTATTACAGTCATCGCTTTTTAGCCATAAGAAATCAAATGGAAAATGTGTGTTTCTGCAGGTCAAAACTGTTGAAGTTGTATGACTCAGGTCAGCAGACACCACAAGCTACCATCTCTGTTACAGCAACAGGGTACTGAAGATCTAGTTTTACCAGCTGTATCAGATGCTTTGCTACTCAGTCTGGCTGCACAACTTCAGCAGAGATTCCATCTATTCACCTTTGCTAAGGAACAGCAAATAGAATTTGTTCCTGAATACTGCTTCATCAGGAGCAAGGGAAGGGCAGAGAAGGAGAAGGGGAGGAAAAAAGATATAAAGTGGCAGCCAGAGAAGTTTTCTGGCAAGACTATAGTCCCTGAAATTGCAGACAGAAGTAGAGATAAACTCTGCCTGCAACAGAGTTGTCTTTCTAATTTGGACAAATAATGGCCGTAGACTTCCATCCTTCACCCAAACCACAATTCTTTTGATTTTATTATTTCTTAAGCAGCAGCAACATACATAACACTACATAAAGCACAAATCAAGTCTCCCTGTTTTGCACAAATAAAGTCTCTCTGTTTCAAAGAAATTCCAGTCTAGGAGAGACAGAATTTTAAGAACAAAAGAAACATTTAGAAGAGTTAACTTCAGAGGGAATTTTTTCCCCCAGGAGAAAGCAGCGTGGAAAACCTAAGTCTCAGATGGATGTAAACAGGGACAGTGCAGAAGAAGACCGGGCTAAGTAATACAAATTTATTTTTATGTTTATATTGTCAGGACACTGTGATTTCATACACTGTGTGCCCATATGGCACTTTACATGCATAGGATTTGTAAACCTTTCAATTAGCACCGATAGTATAAAGCAGGCAGTTATTTAAAGTAACCCATACGGCATCTTGCGGTGGAAAAATTCTAACTCCCCTGTACTGGACAGGCTTCCTGTCGGGCAATTCAGATGCCTACACAACCCCTCAAAAGGCTGTGGAGAAACAATCCGAGACACCACCTGGGAGGTGTTCACAGCCCCAACAG